TATATATATATATATATATATATAAGGTTTACTTTGCAAACCATGTTATTTGTACAAACCATACAAACCTCATTCAACCAATCATAAATTTTTATTTTTTTTGTAATTATGAGAGATTGATTAATGATTTTTATTATGGAGGTTTTAATCATGGGTATTATCATTTTCATTATTTTAATTTTAAGGAAATACATGAAACAATTTCATTAAAATTTTATAAGTATTATACGAACCAACTTCATAACCATATATAAAACAACTTCATCTAGAAAAATATTATATTAAATAATTTTATAATATTAAACAATTTCATGAAACAAAATCATTCATTAAACAATAAAATCGACGGATAAGGTGATTTGCACGGTTTGTACAAATATGAGTGATTTGCGTTTGATCGCTCTTCTCTCTCTCTCTCGGGAAAAAAACATGTGAGAAGGGAAATTATGGTGAAAAATGTAAGAAGAGATCTGAACCCATTTTCACTTTTAATCTTATATGCACCCATGAACTGCAATTTAGAAGAGAATTGATCTGGTGTATCTCGGTGCACCTCACTAGTGTTGGCATTCAATTAAGATTGATCCAAGGGTGGAGATTTCTTCTTACGCTTCTCACCATAATTTTCATTCTCATCGGAACCCAAACACATATATATATATATAAAGAAAGAGAGAGAGAGAGAGAGAGATGGGTTCACATGAGACCACATTTTTGTACTTGAAATTTTACAGCAAAACATCGTGAATGTAAAAAAAATTTGAACCTTCACAACAAAAACATTGTGAAGGTTACCTTCACAACAAAAACATTGTGAAGGTTACCTTCACATTGTTTTATTGTGAAGTTCTAAGTGTAAAATTGTGGTCTCATGGATCTTACAAAAACATGTTGGTCTCACATGATCGCAAGTATGTGTGTATATATATATATATATATATATATATATAGGGTATACATATATATATATATGGGAATTATTTTGCAAACCTCATATTTCATGCAAACAATAGAAACCACCATCAACCAATAGAATAATTCCATGTTTTTTCTTTAAGGATATGAATGTCATTTTACTTTGTAATAGATAATCTTGGTAATGTTTTAATTGTTTTTAAATATGGAAGATTAAATAGAGTAACTGTTTTTAAGTAAATTGTAAATCAATTGATTTTAATATATAATTATTACCATTACCATTACCATTAATATTCTATATTCTTTTATTAAATTAAAAATACTACATCATTTACAAAGTCTATTTATAATAATTTATTTGTTATGAAATTATTTATTTCATTGTCATAATAACAAAAGAATCTATTTGTAAAAATACTACATCAAAATGTTTCAAAAATAAAACTAATTTTATTTTGGTTAGGAACCATAAAACTACTTTCATTAATGAAATAATAGTATTCAGGTCTTGAAATATTTCATTGACTGGACCAAATTTGGTTTCATTAATAAAACCAATTTCATCTTGGCTATAAACAATGAAACCGATTCCATTTTGGTTAGGAAACATGGAACAAATTTAAAAATGAATGAAATATTATTATTCAGTTCTTGAAGTGTTTCATTGACTGAACAATATTTAGTTTCATATGTAAAACCGAGTTCATCTTGGTTAGACACCATCAAACCGATTCCATTTTGATAAAAAAACATTTCAACAAATTTCACTGCTGAAACAATGTCATTCAGTTTTTGGATTGTGGAGTCCATGAAACCAATTTCAATGATGAAACGAAATTCATTAATGAAACCATGTTATTCATGTTTTTAGAAAATGTTCCATTGACTGAACCATATATGGCTGAAATTTCATTATGCAAACGAACAATAAACCAATTTCACAAATAGAAAAATGAGATACAGTTTCCAAATGTTTTTATTGATGAAACCAATTTCACTAATGAAATCGTATTATTTTTTAAAATGAGATACATTTTCCAAAATGTTTCCAAAAGGATCGAAACAATATGACTGAAAGTTAAAAATGATTTGCCAATTTTTCCCTTTCTTGATTAAATATTAAAGCTTTTATTTTATTTTTTACTTTCCTAATATAACACATTTTAATCATGCCCATTGATCAAGAAAATAGATGGATATGATTGGTTTGTATGGTTTGCACAAAAAGGGATGGTTTGCATTTGATTGCTCCTCTCTCTCTCTCTCTCTCTATATATATATATATATATATATATATATATATATATATATATTTTCACAGTTACTGAACATATATACAGATGATTATATAGATATGGGGAAAACATTGAAAATATATATATGTGAAGAGGGTTTGCGATGAAGTAATTGTCTAATGTATATATTTATTAATAGGGATTTAACAATCATATTAAATCCAAGAAACAAAAGGACATATTGGGGAAATCTAGAAAATATGGGAAACAATGAGCAATTAGAAGTTTGGATAAAACTTGAGACCATGTGATAGCTCTCTTTCCTTGAGTGATATTTCGACCCTATTCTGCCCGGTATTACGAAATTCACTCGAGGATAATCTCAAATTTTAGGTAACGATTATGATAGAAATCGTATCCTTTTAACTTAGAGAATCGTAATAGCTCCTATATTAATGCAGAGAATAACTTCCCATTAAATGAGGATGATTGCTGGAAAATAGGAGCGAGTGATTACAAATAAACAAGTATAAATTGGATGTTAATCATCAGTTAGATAAAGATTAGTACATGGAGCAATCCTTCAGCTAGTTGAACACTAGTGAATCATTAGCGAAGCTGAACACTAGTGAACCATTAGCTAGTTGAACCTTCAACGAGTTAAACATTATTGCCATCATCTAGTTGAGTCTGCAGCTGATAGACTGATCATGTAGCTGAATACAATTGAAGGATCAACTAGCTAGGGTCCCATCAGCTATGTAGAGCTGAACACAAAAGCTGATAGCCTCATGAAGAAAAACGCATAAACCATGTGTTTTCTATGCGTAAAAATGCATGGCCCGTGCATAGCTATCTATTTCCAAGTACGACCTATGCTCTTCTGTAAACCAAAAATGCACGGCCCGTGCACTGCCCTCTACCACTTAAACCCTCCCTATATAAAACCATCCAACAATCCCTGTTTCTAGTTAGCTTACATGAGTGTGCACTCCATACCTCCTAAACTGTGTTATAGCTTGACTAACAAACCCATATTCTCTTTGTGAATCAATTACATAAAATGAACCGATGATTTCAATAAAATCACCAACACAAATTCATGAGTTGGGTTGGATTCAAATGACCGTAAACGGATTCCAACCGAATGCCTACGGTTGGGTTGCTTCGGGCTGGTTTAATTCGCGTTAGAGTGACCGGGTTGGGTTGGTTGGTCTTTTAAGCCCTCTAGACTCCTAGACTTGTATATGTGGGATCATCTCAAATACTATGTAACTAAATTGCTTTTTTGTAGATGGATCACTCTCTAATGCTATATAGACTTTACAACCTTTCTCCAACTTGATTGATCAATATCTTCGTTCGAAAGATGATGCTCTCTAAAACCATGCTCATCTCCCGCGATATAACAGGTTAGTTCTTCATCCGGAATAAGTTAAAATGATACTTTTAGATTTCTTAACAAGTTTTCAAAATGTTTGAAATAAGTGTTCGATTAGTTTTTTTTTTCATATTACATAATTGATAATTGTTCTATGAACACCTCTTCTTTATATAACAATTATATTTTATTTTTCCAAATAATATCATATAAAAAAAAAATATTATGACTGCTTTATTTCAAAAGTGTCATAACAACTTGTTAAAAAGCCCAAAAAGCGTCTTATTAACTTATTGTAACACCTTTATTGGTACTACAAACTTAAGTCACTTATTTTGTTGTGGTGAAACGACACCGACATTTTCATATACTCATTATTTGTTACCATATGATGTAGTAGTAACAGGAAAAAATCTTGAAAACGCTGAGGAGTTTGTATGAATTTTGAAGTTGAAAATCAGTGAGTTTGAATGTTTGATCTCAAAAATCAAATGGTGTTGTGATGCATATAACAGGTTTGAAGCTTTCTGAGTTTTGGGAACCATGGCTGCAGCCCGGCTCACCCTGCTTGTGGGAGACTGCCAGCATTATTCTCCAGCTTGGGTTCCTTGCAGTACTCTTAAGTGGTTTTCTGAAAAGACTCATCGAGTCACCGTCCATCCGCGAATCGAAAATCAAGATCCAAGAAACGTACCCAACCAATATGAAGACCGGTCTCCTTTACAAGCTGAGTTTAGCCAGCTCGGTTCTGTTACTAGGAACACATATCATGATCCCGCTAATGTTGAAAACTAGAAGCGAAGCATACTGCAAACTAGAAATCCCGATTCTATCATCAGAAATTATGCAAATCGTGTCGTGGGTCATGACCTTGATTGCGTTATACATGATCCCAAAACACAAAAACATAGATTTCCCTTGGATTCTAAGATCCTGGTGGCTATGCACTTTCTTGTTGACGGTTTTTCGGTTAACTCTAGATGTCCATTTTCTAGTTTCTCATCACCATCGCCCAGAACTACTCGAATACATCGACTTTTTTGGACTTGTAGCCTCGACCTGCTTGTTGTTTCTTGCAATACGAGGAAAAACAGGCATGACCATGGCTAATCCAAGTGCTGTCACGGAACCGTTTCTGGATAGAAACTCTAAACAGCACCATTCAGAAGAAAAAAGAGAATGCCCGTATGGAAAAGCTTCTATTTTTCAACTTGTTACGTTTTCTTGGCTCAACCCCTTGTTTGTCGTAGGAATCAAGAAACCCCTTGACCAAGATGAAGTCCCAGATGTTGACATTAACGATTCCGGTAGCTTTACATCAAAATTCTTTGATGAATGCTTGAATCATCAGGGAACCGAAAACCCTTCTATATACAAAGTAATCTATCTCTTCACAAGAAAGAAAGTGGCAATCAACGCCCTTTTCGCCGTTACAAGCGCTGCTGCATCATATGTGGGGCCGTACCTTATCAACGACTTGGTGAGTTTTCTGAACGAAAAAGAAACCAGGAGTTTAACCAGCGGCTACCTTATTGCGGTCGGGTTCTTGACTGCAAAAGTTGTCGAGACACTAACTCAGCGGCAGTGGATCTTTGGTGCTCGTCAACTAGGACTCCGGCTTAGGGCGGCTTTGATATCTCACATATACAAAAAAGGGCTTGTGTTATCTAGCCGATCGTGCCAAAGCCACACAAGCGGTGAGATCATCAATATTATGAGCGTTGACATCCAACGAATCACGGATTTCATGTGGTACATTAACACGATCTTTATGTTGCCGATTCAAATCTCGTTAGCTATGTTTATTCTTCACATAAATCTCGGGCCGGGGTCGTTTGTGGGACTAGCAGCAACGATGGTAGTAATGTCTGGAAATATACCATTGACTAGAGTTCAGAAATGGTATCAGTCAAAGATTATGGAGTCAAAGGATGCAAGAATGAAGTCAACTTCAGAAGTTCTAAAGAACATAAAGACACTAAAACTTCAAGCATGGGACAACCATTATCTTCAAAAATTAGAAAGTTTCAGGAAAGTTGAATACGATTGGATCTGGAAATCGCTTAAGCTGAATGCTCTAGCGGCTTTTGTCTTCTGGGGCGCGCCAACTTTCATATCCGTGATGACTTTTGGAGGCTGCGTTTTGATGGGCATCCCCCTGACGGCTGGCCGAGTTCTATCTGCATTGGCTACATTTCGAATGTTACAAGATCCTATATTCAACCTACCCGACTTACTGAACGTAATTGCGCAAGGGAAAGTATCCGCAGATCGGGTGGCTTCTTATCTGCAGGAAGAAGAGATCGAGTCGGATACAGTAGAGTTTGTTCCTAGAAATCTTACTGAAATTGATGTCAAGATTGAAAATGGACGATTCAGCTGGGACCCGGATTCAAGAACAGCGAATCTTGATCAAATCCAGCTAGAAGTCAAAAGGGGAATGAAGGTGGCTATCTGTGGAACCGTTGGATCAGGAAAATCTAGTCTGCTGTCGTGCATACTTGGTGAGATGCCTAAGCTATCGGGAACAGTCAAGATCAGTGGTACAAAGGCTTATGTTCCCCAGTCTGCGTGGATTTTAACAGGAAACGTTAGAGAGAATATTCTGTTTGGGAATGCTTACGATAGAACGAGGTATGAGAAGACAATCAAAGCGTGTGCTTTGACTAAAGATTTCGAGCTTTTTTCAACAGGAGATCTAACGGAAATCGGGGAAAGAGGGATAAATATGAGTGGAGGCCAAAAGCAAAGGATTCAGATTGCTCGTGCAGTGTACGATGATGCTGATATATATCTTCTCGATGATCCTTTCAGTGCTGTGGATGCCCACACCGGAACCGAACTCTTTCAGGTTCGTAAATTTTCAGATTTTTGGTCTTTAGATTACACTTTTGGATGCTTATCTTCTATTGGATTATACAGGAATGCCTTTTAGGGATGCTTAAGGAGAAGACCGTGCTCTATGTTACACACCAGGTTGAGTTTCTTCCTGCAGCAGACCTCATTCTGGTAAGCAAGCCTATGCGCATGCATGCTATAACAAAATCGGGTTTGTAGGACGCCAAAAATGTGTAAATGTCCTAATAAACTTCTTTACAAGACTTTAAGTTTTCTGGACCAAAAATTGTGTCATATGTAAATGCGTTGCAATAAGTATATAAGACGTTTTAACAAGTTATTTAGGACATTTTTAAGAAAAAGCGTCGTATTAGCTTTTCTAGGAGACATTTTTTGAGAGTGTCTTACGAACACATCTTTTTATGGGACACTTATTCTTAAACGACGTTCTCTCAAGTAATGTAATAGAAAAATAATAAAACACTTTATATTAAAAGTGTCCTAAAAAATTGTTAATATGTTAAAAAACGTCATATAAACTTATTACAACGCTTTTACATAGGACATACAATTGTTTGTTGTTCAAAACTCAAGTCCTTTAAGCCAGTTTATTAAGACATTTAGACCATTTTTGGTGTCCTATAAACTTGATTTTATTGTAGTGGCAACAAATCTTCTGAAAAATCATCTTAAATTTCTAGATTATGACGGATTCTAAACAGGTTATGAAAAATGGAAGAATTGATCAAATGGGAAATTTTAAAGAACTTCTAAAGCAGAACATAGGATTTGAGGTTCTAGTCGGAGCCCATAACCAAGCTCTAGACTCTGTTCTAGCTGTTGAGAGTTCAAGTAGAGAACCCGAACAGACACCAGTTGAAGAAGAACCAACTTTGATCACGGAACTCTCGCAAACTAAGCAAGATTCGGAGCACAATTTATGTGTCGATATGTCGAAAAAAGAAGGAAAACTGGTGCACGAAGAAGAAAGGGAAAAAGGAAGCATAGGGAAAGAAGTTTACTGGTCTTACTTGACTTTAGCAAAAGGTGGATTTCTAGTACCGATTATACTTCTGGCTCAGTCTTCGTTCCAGTTTCTACAAATCGCTAGTAATTACTGGATGGCGTGGGCATGTCCAACCGACTCAACTGAGATCGTGAGTGGAATGGGCTTCATTCTACTCGTTTATACACTTTTGGCAGTTGGAAGTTCGCTATGTGTACTGCTACGAGCCTCACTTGTTGCTATCGCTGGCCTTCTGACTTCAGAAAAGCTTTTTAACAATATGCTTCATAGCGTTTTACGTGCACCCATGGCATTCTTTGATTCGACTCCAGCTGGACGGATCTTGAACCGGGTGAGGAATTAACTTCAAGCTTTTCTAGAGTTTCTTTCGAGTTCTCTAGGTATATAGGAACTTAACCAACTAACTTGTGAATGCACAGGCATCCACAGATCAAAGTGTGATAGATTTAGAGATGGCAAACCGAATAGGATGGTGTGCATTTTCAACGATTCAGCTTCTTGGAACAATGGCGGTCATGTCTCAGGTGGCATGGGAAGTATTTGCCATCCTTATTCCGGTGACTGCCATTTGCATATGGTACCAAGTAAGATATCGTTCTCTATACTCTTGAAACGTCAACCACTATAACAAAATCAGGTTTATAGGACGACCAATATGTCTAGATGTCTTCAAAGACTGTTTTATAGGATCTGCCAATTGTGTGTTCCTAGGTAAAAATGTAATAGTAAGTTAATAAAACTTTTCATAACAAGTTTTTTTTTTTTTTTTTTTTCACGACATGCCAAAGGACCTTTAGCTTAACGGTATATGTGTTTTGACCCTCCTAGAAGGTCAAGGGTTCAAAACTCACCAAAGGTGAGGAGGGTGTGTGATTTATTTGTTCTATTTTCCGTATATAAATATAAAGTTTTTTACGACACTTTTGAAATAAAACGCTATATTAGCCTCTTATACGACATTATTTGAAAAACTGTCTTATAAAAACATATGTCCTGTAAAAAGATGTTTTTGTTGGACACTTCTCAAAATTGTCTTATAGAAAAGTTAATCAAAACAGTTTAAAAACTTGTTAGGATGTCCAAAAACCGTCATATCAAGTTACTGTACCACTTCTACATAAAACTTCAATTGTTTGGTTTTATAAACGTAAGGGGTTGTTTACCAAATTTTTCATTAAGTTCTCTATGAATAAATTTGTCTGTCTGCATAAATTTATGTTGTTGTTTACTTTTCTATGTGAAATCAACAATCTGAATAACAGAAATGACCAATTTACCACTGATGAGTATGAACTACGCGCTGTTTAATAAATTGCGGTTCAATAAATTGCGGTTAATAAATTGCGGTTCATAAGTAAACACCCAAGTAAACACATCATTTTGGCTGTGCGAATAAGCGCATTTACTCATTAAGCTCATTAAATCCTAAGTAAACACCTCCTAAGTCTTATAGAGAGTAGTTTATCTATTAGGACATTTAGACATATTTGGCATCCTGTAAAACCGATTTTGTTGTAGTGAAACTGAAGTTTGACTTAGAATTGAGTGTTGGAGATCCGGAAAAAAACATTTTACCCATCATCTTCTCATACTTTCAGAGATATTACATACCGAGTGCAAGAGAATTGGCTCGGTTGGCAGGCATAGAAAGAGCTCCAATCCTTCACCATTTTGCAGAATCGCTCACGGGTGCAGCAACAATCCGTGCCTTCCAACATCAAGACCGGTTTATCGAGAAAAATCTTTATCTCATTGACAATCATTCAAGACCATGGTTTCATAACGTTGCAGCCATCGAGTGGCTTTGTTTCAGGCTGAACCAGCTATCAAATTTTGTGTTTGCATTTTCACTAGTTCTCCTTGTAACTCTTCCTGAAGGAATCATTGATCCAAGTAAGTTTAACTTAAATGGGTTTGTGAGAACATGTGGAACACCATGTTTACCTTCTAAAAGGGTCCTTTAAGCATATATATGTATTGGTACTCTAACAGGGATCAATGAACCTTCATCTGTTAACTGATGAAACTTAAATGGAATGTGTTTTGGCAGGCATTGCTGGATTGGCAGTAACGTATGGAATCAATTTGAATGTTCAGCAAGCTTCGGTTATATGGAATATATGCAATGCGGAAAACAAAATGATCTCGGTTGAAAGAGTGTTGCAATACTCTAATCTTACTAATGAAGCACCCTTGGTGATTGAAGAGGCTCGTCCGCCAAGTGAATGGCCACAAAATGGAACCATTTCTTTCACAAATTTGCAGGTAAGCTTCTTCTGCAACTTGAAACAAATCACTACACTACAGCAAAATAGGGTTTACAAACACCAAAAATATCCAAATGTCTTAATAGACTTCCAAACAATTATGCGTAGTAGGATAATTTTGGGATTTTAACAAGTTTTTAAAATAAATTGTTGTACTAGCTTGCTTTTTTACAGGTTACTTTGGAGAAGTGTTCTTGTGACATCTTTTTTATAAAACACTCTCTCAAATAATGTCATAGTTAATATATATTCTCAAGACACCAAAAGTGTCCTATAAACTTATTGTAACATTTCTACATACGAAGAACATGGTCCTGTCAATTACGACACTTGGACATTTTGACACATCTTAATGAACTCGATTTTGTTGTAGCAACAGCAAAAATCAGTATTTGTGTTATGCTTGATTTTGCAGATCAGATATGCAGATCATCTCCCATCTGTGTTGAAAAACATAAGCTGCACATTTCCAGGAAAAAAGAAAGTTGGTGTTGTTGGTAGAACTGGAAGTGGGAAGTCAACACTGATACAAGCCATATTTAGAGTTGTAGAGCCTGCAGAAGGATTCATCACAATAGATGGTATTGATATTTGCAAGATAGGCCTTCATGACTTGAGATCAAGACTTAGCATCATCCCTCAAGATCCCACCATGTTTGAAGGAACGGTTAGAGGAAACCTCGACCCCCTACACCAGTATACGGACGTAGATATCTGGGAGGTAATTTAATAACCGCTGCATTCTCACTACAATATAAAGTTTAACTTGAAAAGTTTGAAAATATTATTTCAGGCCTTGGACAAATGTCAACTTGGTGATATAGTTCGTGGGAAGAACGAGAAACTGGAATTTCCAGGTGAAAGTAGTTTCACTTTGATTCCAAATTCTTAACTTGTTTATTTTTATTGAAAAAGCTTTTTCAGCTTGGTTAGCGTAAAGCTAGTTAGTTTTTTGAAAACCTGCTTCAAGTAACTTTCCAATCATATCCCTTATACTTTCCAAATTAATTAATTATTTATTTTAGATCAATTTTAATTGTCATGTGATATTTGCAAGAAAGAAAATAAAGAAAAAGTAATGTGGTTTTGCAGTGGTTGAGGGGGGAGAAAACTGGAGTGTTGGGCAAAGGCAGTTGTTTTGTCTTGGTAGAGCGCTGCTTAAGAAAAGCAGCATTCTTGTTCTTGATGAAGCTACAGCATCCATTGATTCTGCAACCGATGGAGTTTTACAGAAAATTATTACCGATGAGTTTAAAGAAAGAACCATCGTCACGATAGCACACAGAATCCATACAGTTATACATAGCGATCTCGTCTTGGTGCTTAGTGATGGTAAGTAACCATTCATCACATATTTGTTTCTCGTTAACTTTTCTGTTCAAAAGGACTACTACTCCTTACACTTACACTTACACTTACACTTACACTCTAGTAAAATTGAGTTTATAGAACGTCAAAATTGTCTTGGCATCTTATACACTGCTATAGAAGACTTAAGAGGTGTTTGGTTGGTTTGAGATATTAAGCAGTAATTGTAATTAATGGGAATGATGATAAATGAAACTCTTTGGTTTTTTATCATCCCCCAAGAACCCATATTTTCATTCTGGGGTTAACTGGGGGAATGAAAAGTCATTCACATTTTCATTGTCTATCATTTTCATTCCCACTTTCATTCTCCAACCTGAACCAAACAATCCCTTAAGTTTATTGAATTAAATATTTATATGCCCTATGTAAAAGTGTAACAGTACATTTATACGATGCTTTTGGATGAATTATAAAAAACTAATAGGACACTTTATTTTTAAAGTGTTTAAAAAACTTGTAAAGACATCCAAACGCAGTCATATAAACTTATTGTTACACTTTTACTCAGGATGTACAATTGTTTGTTCCTATAAATTTAAGTTTTACAAAGCAGTCTATTAGGATAATTTGACATTTTTATTGTCTTATAAACCAAATTTTGTTGTAGTGTTAGCATCATATTTGACTATGTTTTAAGTTTGAAGAAAGAATTGTGAAGTATTAATTAAACTTCATAAAGATTTGCGAAGTAGGGTACAATTTTGTTATTGAATTTGTCAAGTGTTTTCCAATCTTTTCCGAGTTTTGAAAAATATTTGGTTTGACTCTCTTAATATTAATCTTTATGCAAATCAATGGAAATTGAAGAAGAACTAGGTTTTAACAAGAAAATGGTTGAAATAAAAAAAACACCAGAAACTTATATGACATATGATTTTAGATTAAAAATCACATGCGATTCAGGTTCGTATGTGATTTTTAGTTCAAAATCACAAGTGATACAGGGGTTCTCGTGTTCTCTTATTTTGACTTTGTTCTTGTTGAATCCAATCCAATTGAACAACTTAATGTGATTGTTAAACAGGAAAAATAGCGGAGTATGACACGCCAATGAAGCTATTGGAAAGAGAAAACTCGTTCTTCTCTAGACTCATAAAGGAATACTCGGTTAGGTCAAATTTCGACAAAAAGTGAGCTAGCTAATTGAAGACGAGGATTCACTTGGAGCAAGTATTGCAAGCTCACATATTCATAAATGAAGATATGTTTGTATCTGTAGTCATTCGATACCCAGAGTGTTCTTAACGAATAAAATGAARTGAAAACATATGTGCCTTGCAATTTCTACATGATCCTATCATCTTTTTTGAGTTTTATTACAACAAAATTTGGTTTATAAGATGACAAAAAAATATCTAAATGTCCTAATAGATTTCTTTATATGACGAGTGGGGGGAGAGGCAGGCCGAAAGGTGGTTAAGGGGTTGAATGGGCCGGTTAGGAGTGGTGTGTGTGTGGTGGAGTTCATGGATGAGTATTTTTCTTAAAAAAATCTTTATTGCAAAAAGATAGATCGAATCGATAGAAGTTAATCAATTTGGCTATGATACCACTTGTTGGCCCAGATCTGACAATAGAACAAGGTTAAAGGATTTAAAATGAGAGATTTGTAGAAGAATATGAATAGAAAATGGTCGCCGCTTTCCTTATTGAATACAAACTCTCTAAAAAAAAATCCTAATCGACTCTCATGTGATGTTTTGTGAATCCTTGTGTTACAAAGTGTGTATCGTCACATCTATTGTATGCCTATAACACCTCTTATATAGGCAATATTTACCAGGAAACTAAATTTTATAAATATGGAAATAATCATTAACGTAAATAGAATTAGCACCATCCTTCTTGATTCAGTCTGCATGCACTAGGCTGCTATGAGTATAGTTGTCCAGAGCATGGATTAACCAGAGGAATAGCTCATATAGAGGAACACTTCATACAAAGGAGCTCTGTATATTTGGAAGACCCAGAGGCTCTGTATGTACTATACAGAGACTCTGTGTCTGCGCTCTGTGTCCGAGTACTTGGAGTTTAGGCGCATGTGCATGACTTTGGTCTTCTTGTCCTCTGCATCCGAGTACCCATGCTCTAAACCCGAGAGCGCTTTCTCTGTATCCGAGTGCACGAGCTCTGTGTCCGAGTACCCGAGCTCTAGTCGCCTAGAGAGCCTCTTAGTTGTCGAGAAAGCCTATATATGCTCTTCCAGACTTAAGTCATTTTGGCTCAGCAGATCTCTGAATCTTTCATCCTTGGCCCGAATTGCTTAATAAAACTTTTAGAGTAATTAGGATCAATTTTGGTCCTAACAATCTCCCCCCAAAGTTTTATAAAGCAAGCATCTTTATGAAGCCTGGAGGTCTTCTTCCCCCTCCTTTCTTTAAGAAAGCTTTAGTATGATTGGTATGGATGGAATCTTCAAGCTCCCCCTGAATGTAGCTCTTTATTCATCAGTTTCAAGTTTCAGATCAAATCAAATTCAATGTGAATGCATCACCACCGATTGCACAAAATGCAACTTTAATCAGCAGAAAAATCATCACATACTTTGAATCACAGAGTTGCCACTTAACCCCAGAAATAGCTAATTCATCTAACTAAGGGATAGATAAATGTGTGAATTTCTTGACAAAATAGTGTAACCAGTTTTATGACAGAGAATCCTTTATTGAACCGCGAGCTGAGTAGGAATTCTGCTTTAGAGCTTGATCTAATGGAGTATCATCTTGAATAACCAAAGCAGACACTATTGGAATTGAGAACTGGAGAGAAGGATCATCATTAAGCTCATGACTTCAAGAACAAAAAGTCAAATCTTTAAAAATGTTGACTATATTGCTGTTGATGCTTCTAAGGGGAAAACTTGAAGGAAGATCACCATATTCATTTAGTACAGGTGATTTTCGAAAAATAAATCTTTAAGCCCTCATAGATCCAGATCCACAATGAGAGACAATGAACAAATACTCAAGATATGGGCGATGCGTATAGGTTTGGCAAACAAATCGCCCATTGCCTTAGGTTGTTAGCACCATGAACTCCAGCTTAACGCGTATGCGTAGATCTGACAATATCAAGGTTCAAAATTTTGACTGAATCTAAGAAACTCATCAAATAAACCAAATTTTGATAAACAAAATAGGTTCGTATTTCTATTACAAACATTACAAGGTATTTATATGCATTGACTTATTCAAAGTCAAACACAATTTCAAATATTTACATTACATGAATTTTGACTATTTTTGACTTTGACATGGAAGCTTTGACCTCTTGATTCTTCACTCTCGTCTTCATACTCGTTGATCTCGGATACAACATATTTTAGGTCTAACAATATCCCCCTTTGGATTCGAGATCACAAATCAGTATTTATCAGAACTCTTTAAAACGAGACTTCAACTAAACTTTGAATTTAACAATCTCCCCCAAATCATAAGTCTTTAACAAACTCTCCTTTATGAAGACGATCAAACTTTATCAACCTTTCAATAAGATGAATTTGAAAACAACAATCTCCATTTTCCAACAAACCATCTTGAAAGCAAAATCTTCAATTTGAAATCATCTTCAGAATCATTCATAAACTTCCTCTTTCTAGGTCTTCAATTAGCAGTCAACAGATCTTCAAGAAATCCTTTTTACTCAACAATCAACTACACTTCAGAAATACATGTTGAAACACCAAATAAGCTTTGGATATTCAGGATTGAAGCTTTGACACTACGTGTACTAAGCTTTTGCACCTTCATATCATGAAAAAAAAAATCCAAGTTTATCAACAGCTCTGTTTCAGACTTCCAAAAAATCTTTCACAGATAAGTCAACACAAATCACTAACATCAACTTCAAAACAATATCAATCCTTTTCATCACATCTACAATCTTCAAATCATATGGATTTTCAACCTTAGATTTCAAAAGATTTAAATTCAAACTTTCTCTTCCATAAACTTCAAGTTTTCTTTCTTTCTTGTAATATCTACACAATCTCTTTTAGTCTTCATATCTTCATATCTTTCGATCATGTCTTTGATAATATTTCTCCCCCTCATGATGATCAGAAGAATCATGAGCATCATGAACAATCAAAGACATTAACAAAACAACTTTAGATATTCTCAAAGACAGACATATTTGATTTCTCCCCCTCAAAAAGATAACTCTGTTAGAATAACGTTCTTTCCCTCTTAAAAAAACTTTATCACTACGAGCAATTTCTCTTCCTTGAAAGTTGGGTAATAGTCTAACATAGAAGCACATTTAGCAACTATTATCACAACAATTAAAAATAAATGTGTGGCCTTCAGAGTTGGCAATATTGAATCTCTGATAGGACTTCCAGTTATCACTGAAGTAAAGTTTCAGAACTAACTTCTCAAACTGTTATGGCAATATCACAAAGATATGCAATTGGAATCACAAAGACTCGTGAATGTGTGAAGAAAATATTATACATATATATTTGGATCAATAGACTCAATGTGCATATAATAAAGTTCGAATACCGGAGGTGCGTCTTCTTGTTTCAATATCTAAATCTTCCGAATGAAGAATAGATAGATTATATGATAATTCTCTGTGATATGAAAGCACCTTTTGTGAGATGCTTTAGTAGCTAGGTGGGGTATTGATCCTCTCTTTCAGTGATTTGATGATAATCCCTTTTAACTTATACATTGTATTTATGTTTCTGTCTTTTCTGTTCCAGCGATCATCACTGAGCCTGTGTTTAGTGATTGCTGAAGAACTTGTATTGTATTCAATCAGAGACAACGATACTTCAAGAAGATAACACTCACACCAAAGAACCTTCAGCCAAAGTCGAAGACTAAAACTGAAGATTAGAGACTGGCAAGTACGTGATTTGAAGCAGTACTCAGTGATTACAAGCATGTCTACATATGTGTGAAGACTGCTCAAGCCTCAACAAATACTGAAGAGATCTCCAGGTTATTCCAACATTCAACGATCAAAGGAAGTTTGCCAAGCACGATTGTTGTCGTCTTGTCCTTATGCACACAAAGGACAAAACCATATACTTTCTAATAGTTAGTACGGTACGGAGCCGACTAGTCGACTCTATTGCCCACCAACTTTAGGTAAGGATGTCTGCTCATGAATAGTCCTTTTTGTACTATTCACTGTAGCAAAGGACAAGCCTTCATCTTAAGGCTTGACACACACTCTAACCCTACCATATTGCATTAAATGAACATTTAATGCATTGGGTATAATCAAAAGTGTTTCTTCTCCATCCAGACTGCGCGCAACTCACTCTCATAACCTAATTCTTACTTTGAGCATTCTCTAGCTTAAGTAAAAGAACTTTTCTTAACAACATTTCTTTTCTCATTTGCTAAGATTCTGTGTGTAACCAAAGATTGTTTAGATAGGTTTTCTTACCTTATCTTTCCGCAAACAGTCTTGTAAAATTTGTATTGATCTTCTCTATCAATATATATTTTAAATTTGAAAATATTGTCTTTGTATTCATCCCCCTTCTACAAACTGTTTTACTTATCTTGTAGACCCTCAAGGGACCAACAAATGGTATCAGAGCAGTGTTCTATTTTCTCTAAGTTGTTTAACTATTTTTCTGCATTAGTTTATCTCTTTCTCTATATAACTTTACTGCTTTTAAATGGCTTTGCAAATTACAAAGACATACACAAGATAATGGCTCTCTTGCCAAACCTCCCCGGTTCGTTCGTGACAACTTTAGTCTATGGAAGAACCAGATGTCCCTCTTTCATGAAGGCGTGGATCCTGAAATTTCACATTACATAGAAAATGGACCATATGTACCATTTGCTATTTGCTCCGGCTGTTCCAGCAACAGCTACGACTGCCGCGATTTCTGAACGACAGATTCCAAAGCTCCCTCATCAGTGCAGTGATGAAGACAAGAAGAAAATAGCTATAGACACTCGCGCTAGGTCTATAATAGCTATGTCTCTTTCTGACGAGATTTATCACTCTGTGATGGAGCTCAAGACTTCTAAATCCATGTGGGACACACTTTGAGCTCAATATGAAGGAACCACTCAGGTTCAAGAAACTAGAAAGATCAATTTAGTAAGGCAGTACGAAAGCTTTCTCTGTGGAAAGTCTGAAACGCTGTCTGAAGTACATCAACGTTTAATTGTCTCCTTATTGATCTAAGGGCTGTAGGCAGGGAATATTCCAATTCTGAAACCTTAACTAAGTTTTTGGAATGTCTTCCTGAGTCTTGGGACACCTTTTCCATGTGTCTTAAGATGTCCAATGACATGTCCAC